AAGGACTTGACTCATTCTGTGGGTTCTCTTCTTCTTTTATAGTAATAAATATGTTTTTATGGGATCCAAGAAATGTCAGCCAGTTTATGTCACCATACTGTTATAGACTGTCATGTTATAGAGAACAGTGACAGTGTATTGTGTAGTTAATATGTACACATATTAATTCAGATATGGCTAATTAATTCTCATTAAGTACTTTTGTGACTTAAAACTGCATGATTTAGAGGAAGAATATTAACCAAGAATTTAGATAGATTTTTAAAAAGTTATAAATGTAAAAACAACCTGCTGTAGACTAGCCTCCTACTACCAGTTTTGGGTAATGATGGTGTGTATGTTATGACTCACTTCTTCTTACTGCAGTTATTAACATAATGGTCATTGGTTTTTATAATTTCCTTTCAATTTATTATTTTCAATGTGCATGATATAATGTATATTTGGATTAAAACAGCGTACATGTTTTCAATAAAGCAAAGATTGGTATGTGATAATCTTTGGAATTATTTACATGACTCCAGAGGTAGGGATGGACTTTTGCAAAATTACTTGACTGCCATCAACACAGCTTTTCAAACTGTTGGTTGGGAACAGAGATCATGATGGTTGTAACATACCCAAGCCAGGATGGTTGATTTTTCACATTCACTGAGCTGTTAGCATTAGAGAAACACAGTTTCAGTCTAATCAGAGAAAGCATAAAATGTGAAAGGTGCCATTACTGACCACTATTAGTAACACGTACAGAATCTGGGATCGAGAAGGTGTTACTTCCCCTAGAGCCAAAGCTGATAGCTCCAGCTGGAAGGTAGCTTTGATGGTAGAGCCATCAGCCCATGGATTGGTGTACAACCGTTTACTTGGGGGGTTGAACTTGACTGGATGAAAAATTAGATAATCAAAGGTAGATAAATAAGACCATGAGAAGTATAGACGAGCTCCCTTTTCGCCCTGAAGATTCTGTATGTGATGAATCAGGACTCACAGCACATCACCTGTGCATCTTTGCTAGGCGCTCTTCTGAAACAGCTGGAGTTTGATGTGACAGTCAAAGGAGGAATTGCTGCCTCAGGAAATGCTTTGCCTATGACTGATTGCTGAATGGCTGGCAAATTAATTTTGGCACCTTTCCCTAAGTCGTTTTGGTCCCATTCCTTCATTTTTCTGCTGGGAAGTGTGTATTCACATTACAGTTAAAAATACGTTAACAACACAAATGTGGAGAACAGCATGTACTATTTTAGGATGGAAGCTGTAGGCTGGGAGGGTTCCATTTTATAGAATAGAAATGATGCTGACATTCTCTGAGAGGAGGGCTGAACTCTCCTTTCATCTTGACTCAAAATCAATATTTCTTCTTGCTGACCTCTTGCAAAGTCATGGGCTCCAGGGCTTAAGATTTTGAGTCCTTGAGGAGCTTCTGTTTTGATATTTCTCCCTTAGATACTTAAATACAGCAAATCCTTCCTGCCCTACCCTCCACCCCAAATCCTTGCACCATTACTTCTCTACATATTTACCCTATTGTCTCTGGCAAGGGATGTGTTGTGGTAGGTGGTTATGGTAGGAGCATGAACTGAATCCTGTTTGTACCACTTATTAGCTTTATGACCTTCAGTGGTTTATTTAAGCTCTGTGTCTCAGTTTTGTCATCTTTTAAAGGGGAATCATAATGACAATAACTCACTCCATAACAAAGAGACAATAACTCTAGATCTCTTTGTATACAATCATTTCTCATGTTAAGCACAAGTGTTTAAACTCAACATATTTTACACTTATTTTTCTTTTCCTAAGAATGCATTTCATTGCTGCTGACAAAGATAAAAGGAATGTGTACTTTCAGTTTTGCTTTTAAAGAATAAATTAAAGATGCCATGCTTGAGACAGGTAGACCTAATAAGAAGTGATAAGTTAAGCCCTTGCCTTGGGATGAAGACTGAAGTTCTGTTGTCTCAGTCTGTGACACACTTGTGTCATAAGGTTGGGTGCTTGCTCCAGACTCCCCTGATATGATTGGCCTGTTCCTATTGTACTATCACAACTTGTCATTCTTGTCCTTAAGGATTAAAGAGTCTCAGTAATAATTAATTACTGATTCTTCTACTCTTACATTGTACATATAGGTTTTAAAAAATTATGATAAAATACATATAACATAAAATTTACCACCTTAACCATTTTTAAGTGTTTGTGTGTGTGAGTGTGTGTGTGAGTGTGTGTGTGTGTGTGTGTGTGTGTGTGTGTGTGTGTGTGGAACATGTCGAGTTATGTATGTGGAAATAGTGTTAAAGATATGGAAATCTTAAAGGGCTATGACAATGAATTTTAACTCCTCAGCATTTATACAGTCCATCCAATGCTACCATATCTAGCATTATAGATAGTCTGAGAATCTGCATAAGTATGTGGAAGAGGCATTTTGCTTTCTAGAACAGTTTGCTACATTTTTCCAGCTTTTTGACTTCCATTACTCAAGCATTTCGAATCAGTCACAAAGGCAAACTTGCAGTAAAAGAAATGTGGGAAAAATCAGTAAAAGTCAAATATATCTGGTGCTTTCTCCAGCAAAGAGAAAAATATGGGAAAATAAACACCAGTTTAAATAGTATTTAATCAGTAACTAGAACAGTTCCTAAGATACAAAATATGCTCACAAATATTTGCTGAATTAATAAATCAATTAAACAATTTTTACTAAGTTCAAAACCAACATAATATTATCTTATAAAGAATCTGTTTCTACTTATTTAAAGTTTAATAATTAACCTATAATAAAATTTGTTCTAATTAGTAGTTCCTTTAGAACATAGAAGCATGAAAATACTGACCATAGCTAAAAGAACGATATTAAAACCACATTAATTGAGGATTGCCACCAGTAATCAAAACTAATTGAGGTAAAGGTTCATATTTTCATTATTTTTGAAAATAAAGTGTAATATTTGGCAACATAAAGCACACATTATAAAAGGAACGTCTCTGCTAAGTTGTTGAATCCTTCCACTTCAGAATACTACTTGCCCATAAAGCTCTACTATGAAGATTTATAATTGGCAGTCCCTCATATAGTATCTTATATACAAATGAAACAAATTATGATAATATAAGGCCCAGAATATTCTATATATTTAATTAGTTACTAACGCATACTAGGCTTTCTTCAAATTAGTTAGAATTAATGACCTTTGCTTATAAAGTCAAGCATATCTTTTATTTGAAAAAAAGTTGAAGTCTTATGATTTGTGGAAATTAAAAAATTCGTGCTTAGCTAAACACATTGCAGTTAATTTTAAAAATCATACAGTTTAGTAGTAGAAATGGTTGAATGCCTTTTTTTTTAAACACTCCACTCTGGGGAAAGACCAATTTATAGATAAACAACCCATACCCAGCAGCATTGCATGGCTAATGTCTAACGTGTAGGAGTAGGTTAGAAGCAGCTCAAACTAATGAGGTTAACCCACATAATCTAATCACTCAGACTGAGCATAAAGCAGACAAATATCGTAGAAGCAAGGAGCATTCAATTTATTTCTAAATTATTTCTGGCTTTTGTATTACAAAGTGTCACCAAGTAGATTGTTAGTATGCATTGCCCACTGTTTCCCAGTCTCCTTCAACTTCAAGCATTGCATTTCCCCAGTTTACTGATTATTGGGCCATAGCCAAGATGCCTTTTAATTCAGCGTCAGCACAAAAAATTATTAAGATCCACTTCCTGTTGTCTGGGAAGCTCCCTTCAACCCCCTACCCTTATCCAACCTCCAGTGGAAATGAACATGGGAGACGGAAGCTTATAGATACCCAACAATCACATAGCTTGCCTGACTTAAGAATCCATGTGAGATCTCCAAGCTCCCAGAGGAGCTATGCATTCTTGATGTTATTTACATTATAATTTTTAAAGATGAATTCCAAGGCGAAATTCTTCCAGAAATGCCTAGCCCGAAGAGGGTTGTTGGGAAAACCAGTTGAACTTGATTAATTAGGAAAAAAAAAACAACAGCAACATATTTTAATGAAGATTGGGGTAAGACTGCTCTGAAACTAGATTTTCCTTTTTGTGATATTTAAGGTAGGGATGGGAAAAGCTTGCCTGACTTAAGAATCCATGTGAGATCTCCAAGCTCCCAGAGGAGCTATGCATTCTTGATGTTATTTACATTATAATTTTTAAAGATGAATTCCAAGGCGAAATTCTTCCAGAAATGCCTAGATGTATTGCTTCATTGTAATATCTATATACTTATTGTGAAAGCCTTCAGACAATACAGAAATCTATAGAGAAAAAGTGTTATTCTACATCTCAGACATAACAACTGTTAGTGTTTTGGTATAAAGATTTCTGGATTTTGCTGTGGCTTTACAAACATTCAGATAATTACAAGGTATTTTAAAAAGCAGGATCAGACTATACATGCTATATAGTAATGTGCATTTTTACATAATTTCTGTATGAACAGATATACATTTCATCATAATTGTTAATTCTTCTCTGTACTCCATTGTATAAATGTACCATTTATGGTTATTTCCAATTTTTTTACAAATAGAAAGGATGTTTTTTATACATATATCTTTTTATACATATACATATACATATATAATTGTCTACTTGTTTCTTTGCTATGAATACTTAATACTTGTCTGAAAGAATATGTACTTTTATATAAATTTTGATAAAAATTATAAAATTGCTCTCCAACAAAACCATATCACCTGCCCACCAATATTGCAGCAAGTCCCCATGCCCCTACACCCTTGGAAATCATACAGGTTTACAAAGAAGTGGTGCTTTAGAGGTGTTTCTAGTCTATGAGTTTAGAGTCATGGAAAGCTTCATGCAGGTGATGTGGTTGTGTTCCTGGTTGTTGAAGAAGGTCACCATCACATAACCAGTGCATTCATTTTTTTGCGAGATGGTATATAACTCAGGTTTTCCTTTTATAGCCTTCTGTAACATCTTAAACCCTCGTCTTGTTTTTCCCCTTTAGATTGAGGAAGACACATGGCAGAAATACTACTTGGAAGGAGTCTCAAATGAAATGTACACAGAATATCTCTCCAGTGCCTTCGTGGGTCTGTCCTTCCCTACTGTTTGTGAGTAAGTGACCATCAACCACTCTGAAACTATATTATTTAGCTCTTTGGCTCTCAGGGATATTTAATGTGCCTCTATCAGGAAAGATACTCCTCCACCTCTGCCTAGCATAGTTGGGACACTCGACAATTACCGGGAGTGTCCTGTGGGCTCGGCCTTGTATGATGGACAGGAAGGTGGGCCATTCCATGGTTCCTGCTTTGGGCATTTCTGCTGGACCTACGCTTCCCTCCAGTCCCAAGAATCTCAAGCTTGGATCTATCATTTATACTAAATTATGAACTGGAGTTTTCCTGCATGTCTTGACTTCTGCCTCTGCGATGTAGACACATTTATGAAGGGAAGCATGAACCCATATCTCTCTGATTTACCAGGGCAAAAATAAATCTCGCTAGCCTTTTGATGAAAGAAATTTTAATCTCTCTTTCAATTAAGTCAGATCATAGAAGCATCAGAGAAGTCATTGTTCAAAGTGTATTCACAGTTTGCTGATGAAACGAGGAACCACGTGTACCAGAAGGCCTTGAAAAAGTCCTTAGCAATTTAGCCCCCTACATGGACAACTGCCATGTTATAATAATAAGGCTCAGCTTCTCCTGATACTGGCTTAGCAGAATAGATTTGAGCAAGGGCAGGCCCTGCCCCTCAAGGTAGAATACGTGATCACCTGAGGAATATGATCCTCAGGAGCTCCAGGTGTCCCTGGCCCCAAGTAACTTCCACTATGACAGTGCCTCAGATTCCCCCACTTCGAATCTCAGATGTTGGGTTTAAATGAAATGGGCTTGGTTCTCTGCGGAAACACAAACTCCCAGAGAATACTGAGACATTTACCTGATCTGCTGACACCTTAGCAAAAGATTTGATAAATTTGGTCTCACTGATTACACACACACACACACACCCACACACACACCCACACACCCACACACCCACACACCCACCCACCCACCAGAAAAACAAAACAAAACAAAACAAAAATGAGAAGAAACAGGAATCTGGGCTGAAGGAGGAGAAAAGCTGTTCCCTTGTGCTGCCTGCCTGCCTACAAACCAAACTGACCTTCTAGGATGGGAGGTCTGAGGATAGTTTGGGGGCTCTTTGGTTCCCTTGTCTCATAGTTTTCTGTTTCGTGCACAGCAGAGAGGGGACGGAGAGCGTGGTAGGTCGGGGTTACCTGGAGACGCGTGTCAGTGAACACAGCAGGTGCACTCTGTCTGTCCCTAGGCTCAGACCCTTAGCAATTTAAAACGGTTTGGCTGTTTACTGAAATTTCTCACCCTCTCTCTAAGCGAAAGTTTAAATGCTAAATGGACTGGAAAAGTGAATAGGTAATTGATTCGGAAGGAGTTATTTTCTGAAAATGGATGCCCTATTGTAACTCCCATGTGTTCCTGTCTTTGAAAGCTATTTCTTTGTCTGCCACAAAAAGAAGTTAACCATTCAAAGGCATTGGGTCCTGGAACACTGAGGCTATCCCTGGGGATTTTCTCCACCTTGGAGCTAGGTCTGCTTAAGATAGAAAGCCTAAGCCTAGAATTCAGGACCTATAATAGAAGTTTGTTCTTTAAAAAGGCAATCGAGGCCTCCTGCATCTAATGAAGGGGCGATGTGGGCACATGGCAGAGCTGCCAGTGCCTGGAAGGGTCCTGTGGTGTTGGAGGAAATTGCAGGGAGTGTTTGAAACCCCCTTCCTTGGTCGTTGATTTTCCTTAGCTTAACTGGTATCTATATCGAACATGAGTGCTCCCTTGAAAGCCACCTTTCCCACTGCTTCTCTTATTTTGCTCTTGGGAACCAAATCAGTTCACAAGTGTTAACCTGTTGGGTTAGGACAGCTCTCCCTAGAAGCTGCAACTGGGATACCCACAGGGTAAATTTGACTCACAAATTCGCCCTCCGTAGTATTTAATTTCTTAAAATTTATTTGCCAATATTTCAAAATAGTGATATTTCACAGAAAAACTAGATCTCTGGCTTCTCTTGAAAATCTGATGAGCCAACACAGGACTTGCATTTCTACTACATGCAAACCGGCTCCAGTTTGCACTAAGGCAGGGTGTAGTGTAGGCCCTTCCCTCCCTGATGTCTGAAACGAAGCCAGATCTGCATTTACATCCCAGGCCTGGCCCTGTGGACTTGTAAGCTTGCCAGCTGTGCCCTGATGAGTGGTATGAAACTTCACTGCCCTTAAGGGCCAGCTCAAGAGCCGGACACTAGTGGCCGTTGTAAATATTTCCCTTGATTGATTTTCATGTTTAGAACATGTCCCGAGGAGGAGCACATCCCTCAGAAACACCTCGTTGTCAGAAAATTTAATATCTGTTCAGTACAGCTTCTGGAAAACAATAAAACAAACAAAAAAAACTTCTGGTGTGAATGAGAATGTGTTCAACTTAGTGCTATTATTCGTTTAACACAATGATACAGCAGAGGTAGAAATAATCAATAAAGAAAGGACATTTAATGAGATTTAGGAACATCCCAAAACATTGAAGCTCTCTTCAAGCATTTGATTATCTGGAGGCTTAATTATCTGTGTTTTCTACTTTAAATTAAGGAAAAGCCATAACTCAAAGTTACCAGCAGTTTAATGATAACATTCTTCAATTCAGGTTAATTAAAGCACAGCCATAATTAGAGTGTAGTGTTGTATATCACCAGGCTGGTGCATAAGTATTTTCATTACAGTAAGAATTGGCTATTCAATTTCAAGATGACATAAAGGATGCCAAAATATATTTTAAGCTGGTTTCTGTAGATGTAAAAGAATTGGGGATTATTCTGGGTATAATAAAGCACAGATAAAATATAAAGATTTTTCAGAGCAGTTTCTGTAATTATGCACAGCATTAAAACAATATGCAGCCCATAACATCTTAAAGCATGAAAAGAAATAAATTTGCTCTTCCCGTGGACTGGCAGAATGCCCCTCGCAGGGTGGTCCCTGCAGCAGAGAGCTTAGAGTTTTCTTAGAAGCTGGGAGAGTCATTCTATGAAAAAGGCAAGGAGGCAGGATAAATGGGTGAAAACTGAGGTCTTTTCCCAAGAGAACAGAATAGGGGAGGAGAGGCAGGAGGGAAAGAAGCCTCGCCCCGCCCTCCCTACCGCCCCCGACCAAGGTAAGGTTTTTAAAAATTTTAAGTAGAGGAGATGCTCTCTTGCCCAAAGGAGGTGCACCCCAGCTATATACTTTGACTTTGGAATTCTCTGCACTAGCTTTTTGGCTTTATTGTATGTCTTACCAGAGGATGCAGTTTTGTTCCAAAACAGCAACTAATTTAGATAAAATGCAGTATTATTTTAAAATATTTCATTTACATTTTCTTATTTAATCCTCACGACAATTCTGTGATGTTTAGATTAACATCACTATCCCTGATTTATAAATGAGGATACTGAGACTCAAAGGACTTTGGTTCCCCTTCCCAGGCCACCTAGCAGACAAGTTACAGAACCCGTATTCTGATTCTGGGGCCTTGTGCAGTTGGGAGCTGCTTAGAGTTGCTGCTAGATGAAAGCTGGCTAATTAAGAATCTCCAGGGGAGCTTATTAAATGGAGAGGTTTCTAGGTTACATCTTCCGATTTTAATATCTAGGGTAATGCCCCCAAATGTACATTTTTTTTACAAGCAAGTCAGGTTCTTCTAATTTAAAATCTGCTAACTGAGAATCCCCACCAACCCCATTCCTTCACACTACTGGAGGGAATAACCTCCTCATATTCCTCACTTTGGGCTCAGGGACTGGAGTCTTTCTCTCTGATTTTAGCCAAATCATAGAATCGTGGGTGGGCCACATCTTGTAAGCTAAAGTTAAGATTCAGGCTTTTTTGTGAGCTTCCTTGTCATCGTTCCTTCTCCACATAGGGCGATCTGCAATCTCCAGGGACATAGAATGGAAACTGTCCCCTACCATGCTGGGCAAAACATTGATTGCGCTTCCCACTCCCCATGCCTAATCCAAATCAGTATGGGAAAAAGATGTGGGGCACTCAGTCTTTATGCTCTCAATTATGTTTCTACTGGTGACCTTCAGAGCAATTTCAGGCTTGGGAGAATAGATAAGCATTAAATTCAGAGAAGCACAGAGGAAACAAGAAGTTCAGGATGCAACCCTCAAAAGTGCTTCTTGGCCTCTTTGGAGGTCATGGTGGCCATGTCCTGGACCTTACCCAGGCTGCCCTTGGGGTGTTCCTTTTAAGGCCAAGCAACTCTTGAGCATTTTCTCTTTGGTTTTTAGTAGCTGGCTTGCCCCTGGGTCTGTGTGGCAATGAGTGCAAGGCAAAGGAGCTTTGGGATCTAAAAGAGAGGGTACCATCTACTCTTCTCTGAATACCAGAAAACTGCCTTCCCCATTTCCCTCCTGCTCCCACCTTCCTCAGCTGGCGACTGTGGAGGGTGCAGATGGCTAGCGCCAAGCCTTCAGGAAGTGAGAGGCTGGGGTATAAGGCCATGTTTGCCACTAAAAAGCACCCTGTTTTTGAGCGGTTCCCATAATGGGATGCTGTGTGACGTCATAGAGTGTGAGCTGTGGCATGGCAAAGGCCAGGGGTCAAACCCCCAGATTGTCTACTTGCTAGATATGTGATTTGGGACAAAATATTAGATTTCTACATACCTTCTTCCTTGGATAGTTACCAGCTGCTTGACCTTGGACTTAGTACTCATCCCCAGTTTCCTCTTCTGTGATAGGAATGACATTACTTATCTCTCAGAACTAGCTAATGTTCTTTTCTCTTCTCTCACCTCTCTTCTTCCTATCATCACTCTATCCTGCCCCATCAGATATATAAAATAAGCACTGAGGAAGAAAGAAATACACTGTGGCATTTTCAGGTTACATTTACTCTTACGCTTTAGAAAATTCTACCATCAGTCATCAGTCAGTCAATTGAGTAGATATTTAATGAATGTGGGATATTTGTGCCAGTGTGCCAGGTGCGGTGCCATCTCTAGAGGGACCTGCAATTAGATTTGATCAAACATATCCACAGTAAAAGA